GGCGGGAACGGAGGCGGGTACGGGGTGGGGGTGGGGGCGGGGCTGGTATTAACATCTCCGTCCCCACCCTCGTTCCCGATTTTATCAATGGAGAAAACCCGAACCTAATAAATATGAATTTTTCTCGTCTAAATCAGAATAGGTATCAATGGGGGCAAGTTAGATTGTCGTGACTAATTAGAGGGAAAAAGATAGAAGGTGGTTATACAATTTGACGAAACTGTTGGTGTAATTTATTCTGAATTATTTGTAACTTTCCTCGGTGAACCCTGCTAGGGCATTGGGGATCTACCACTAGAGTGATCCCACAAGGGAACTAGGGACCAATTCTTACAAGTTTCTTTTCGGAAGTCCCGGCCACTCATGATCTTATATTACCATTTTTTGTTTAAAAAAAATTATTCATCTCCCAAGTTTCTTTATATTCCATCGTTTTCATTTGAACTTTTTTATCATTGAGAAAATAATGTCAAGTGGTTATTTAAAGGTTTCATTTTATTTAACGTGTTAAAAATGGACTTAATATTGAAAGAGAAAAAAAACGTTGTTCTTTTATTTTATTATAAAAATCCTTTTATTCATTATAGTGATCTAGAGGGAAGAGGTGTCACACGATGAATATAAATTATTCATTTATAAAAATTATTAGGATCATTCCAATCGTGAAAGATTGGAATAGAATGTATAAAATTTTAGGTTTAAATTTTAGTGTTGTAATTGTAATTATGATAAATAAAAAAACTCATCCATAATTTCGATAAATATAGATTAAAGCTATATAAATTATTAATAGATCAAATAAACCATTAACATTTGGGTTTGGGGAGAGGGATATTGGGTTTAGTGACTAAGAGGGTATGGGTTCGAATCTCCCCAATAACAACTAACAAACTAACCATTAACATTTGTCGTTCAAAAAAAAAAAAAAAAAAGATCAAATAAAAATAATTTATTTCAATTTACTATAAATCCAATTCGAATCATTTAAGAAAAAAAGAAAAAATTATCTAATCCAAATATTCAACCATTAACAATTTTTCATGAATAGATATCCAATCCATCCATGAAAATATTTTAAAAGTGAAATAGTTATTTTCTCTCTCCCTCTCTTTTCTCTTTATCTTTTCTCACACTCTCTTATATCTATTTTTCAAAATCTAGGAGACATTTTTTATTGTCAAAATAATCTTTTAAAATTTTAATCCAATATACTTTCTTTATTGTAATCTAATGAATTTTAAGAAAATAGTGAATTTGATCAATTATTCATAAAATTAAATAGATAAATTGAATCTAATTAATCATTATAATATTTGTGTAATTGATAAATTAGATGAATTTATTTATAAATTAAATAAATGATGTATAAAAAATCTATACATAATGAATAAATGGTTTATTTAGCAGCCCAGCATGCGAGAAACTATTTGGTGAAGCAGCCACAGATTTTGATATAAAACAAAAAGAGAAGCGTTCTAAAGTGAGCCTAGCTCCAATTTTGTAGGTGTTGAGTGTTAACAAGAGACAAATGGGGATTACGGAAGGTTAGCACCTTGAGTTTGATGCATTTGGTTGCCAAGAAAGATCAAGGCAAAAATTGCCAAAGGTAAGAATAAGAAAAAAGGGAATAAGAGTAGAAAGTTGTAATCCAAGAAACTATTCTAGCTTCGTATGGCTGAAAATACGACAAAAAAACAATTGTTAGCCAACCCATTAGGAAACCATTCCAAACCAGAATTAAAGGTAAAAATAAAATAAAATATAACTATTAATAATCTTATCGGACTGATTGATTCGATCAGAAGATCAAACATGTCTCAAAACCAGTTAGGCTCCGCCCATTTTCATTGAAACCAGTGACCCCTCATCCACCGCTGCACGCACGCATTCACTTGGAAGACATTTATGCAAAAAAAAAAAAAAAAAAAAAAAAAAAAAAAAAAAAAAAGCTAGATATTTTACTTCAGGCTGGGTATCAAACCCAGGCCCTAGGAGTTTTGAAAGTTAAACGAATCACTACACCAGCATGTTTTTGTTTATGTATGAGAAATGATAATATTTATACAGTATCAATAATATAAAATATGTATTTAATAATATACCTATTCATGATCTATTAATTTACCTAGTAATCCACCGACTCCATATCTTAACCGAGCTGAGCATCATGTTCTAATGACAGTGACTATTAGTTCATGTATTTGGCTAAAATTATGAGATTGAAATCCCGGGCAGTCAAGGAATTCCAGCATTCACGTATTTGACTAATTGCAAGTTGCAACATTAAATATGAATCGACCACTCATAATTTATCTAAATAAATCTTACTTAAAATATGTATTCGAGACGAGAACAACGGTTGTAATTCATGAATACGTAAATGTAGGGAATCCATTTCCAAACTTAAATGGCTCATAAATAGGGAGCAGATAGGGAGGGTGGCGAATTTTAAACCTCATTGATAGTGACACACTGACACCTGTAAGGTTGGGACAAGTTGAGCCACCCCACCAAGACAAGAACAACTCATAAGAAGACTTACACAGGCATAATATGTAACACACTATCATCTAAAAAAACAAACATTGAAGTGGTAGCAGTTTGGATTACAATTTTGAATTTTCAGAAAGGCTAAAATATTCTACTAAAATATTTCAACGTTTTACAAACTGGCCATACCTCTTTACCCTAAATATATAACCAGGGCAAATCGGTTATAATAGGCAAAAGTTGCAACATAAATGCAGCCCAACAAGGTTTTAAAAGTCATAAGTGTCTTCCATAAAAAATTCAGATTCCAATACTTTCTAAGCCCCCTCTGCAAGAGTCCTCTTTGAAGTACTGATGTATAAAACTGCAACAAATAAAAGAAATTTTCAATTATTTCTGCAATCAAATATCAATTGTGAATCAAGAACATTATTTCAACTTTTTTCCAGAAAAAGACATTGCATCTCAAAAAATTGTACCATTATTCCCTCGAATGAAAGCGTCGCCATACTTGTTCTTCAGTTGTCCATTGACATATTCCTCTGTCTGCTCCATTGCAATATTCATATAACCATCTAGACAAGCAAGTATACCTGCAAGATTAGCCAAAATGGGTGAGCGTACTTCATGCATACAGAGAAGCATAACATAACAAATACAACTTATAAGTGGACACAAGCACCAATATGCAAATTCACAATGCAAAGCCATCAAACATGGAATTTGACAGTAAAGTGAAGGCCATAATTTCAACTGCTCTCCCTTATTTTGTCACTTTGACACTCAATTCCTTCAACTACTCTCAAACAACAAATTCTGGAAACATATCATGAAGCCATAAACTATGATCTTAAAACATGAGTACAGAATAGTGTCTATACTCTATATGAAAAGAAGTACCCAACATTTGATATATCTCATCAAAAAAGGATAAGCACATGCCATCCTCAATCCTTTTTACCCCAAGTTTCCAACAATTTTGGGCAGGGCTCTAATACAGGTTACTCTGGTATCTAAACCAGTATTTGAGATCAAAAATCCAACAAAACAAGCCACAAGAAGATTAAACAAGGAACTTTCTTTCTCACCAATCAACCAAATCCCCATGTTTTCTCTTAACACAGCAGAAAAAACAGTGAAAGGAAAACATGAAATATAAACCAAAAATTAGCTTATCAATACATCACCCTATACCCATAAATTCACTGACATTTAAACAATTTTCGGATAAAGGACTTGTACAAGCATACAAACCCAAAGCCACTCAACATCTAAATGTGGCAGAAAACAAACCAAAATATGTAGGCATTAATAGTCTTCATCAACATTTAGCAAACCATGATGATGTACATATCAAGGGAGAACAAAAAAGCAGTAAATAAAGAGATGAACCTCTGTAATCAACACCGGAATTGAGCTTGACAACAACCGGCCTCCCACGGATGGATTTGAGGAAATCGGCAGGGGTTTTGGTGGTTCCTGATCCACTTTTCTCTGTTGTGCTCATTTTATCTCAACTCCAAACACCTTCCTAGGAACAACAAAATAACTTGAGTTAACTACATACACATAATACAAGTAGAGTATTCAAGTTTCCTCCTCAGTGGCATTTTAACAAACACCTTATGGGGAATAAAAGAGGGAGTGAATTGTTAATTAATTCTCTCCAAAAATTAAAATTAATCCTCTCTTGTTGTATCTAAACCGAGTGAATCAAAAAGCTAGGTAATATAGATTCATGAAAAATAACATAATATGAGAGAAAAGAAGGGGAAATAAACGGAGTTTTGATAATGAGAGAGAAAACGAAAGGAGGGTTTACCTGAGAATGAGATGAAGTGGGTTGAGTTGAAAGCGCGATCCACTGATATGGAGGGAGAAAAGAAACGCAAGAAAGCCCAAATTCTAGGGTTTTCAAATCACCCAATCTAACGCCACGACTGAAAATATGAAACAGCGCCAAAATAAATAAGAAAAAAAATTCTCAATAAAGGAAAAATTAAATAAATAAATATTTATTTAATTGGATAAAATAAATTTTACTTTTTTTAATTCTTACAAATAAACAAAGGAAAAAGAAAGTGATATATATATATATAAGAAGATTCAAACAATACAGGTATAATTTTTATTAAGTAATATACTGCTCAATAACTTTATATTAAATATAAATTTTATAAATTCAAAAAATTACATTTGATATAAAATTATTAAGCGATATAATGCTAAGTAAAAGTTATACCAGTGTCGTTTGAACTCTCTTCATATATATTAAACTACACTTTTAATTTTTTTTTATTTTGTCAATTCACAAGTTCAATCATTCTATTAGACATTTGGTTCCTTATTTTAAAAATATAAAATTTTATTATAGTATCAATTCAATATGTGTTAATCATTAAATTTTAATATTATAAAGTAACCTATCATCGTGATATGATATTTAATAATATAATATATATAAATAAAAATTAAAAATATAAAAAAAATATTTATATGAATGATTGTTATTTATTTTATTAATAATTTTTTTACATAATTTATTTTAATTTTTTAATCTCTAAACATTATATAATTTAACTACAATTATACAAGTCAATATTAAAATTTAATGATTAATAAATATTACTTGGATAAAAATTTGACATTTTATAATTTTTAAATTAAAGATTACTTTGATAGGAAGTTTAAAATTTTGTAATTTTTAAATATCTCTATTTTTTGATGTAATTTTTCTTTTGAGTGGCGATAGATGATTTATTGTGAGAAAATTTGTAATAAAGATAGATTTATTAGTAAAGTATTGAAGGATTGAGATAAATTAGTTGTAACATGTTATAACAGTAAAAAAAAACAATTAAAATTATGTTAACAACATAAATGTAAATCATGTAATATTCCTTTGCTCAAAATCAAATTTTATCTAACTCTCTCCGGTCACCACCTTCCCTTTCCTCACACAAATAGTTCATAACAAATTTGAAAAAAAAAATGTAAATTTATATTTAAAAAGCTTAATTATGTGGAGCTAACAAATTAGGCATGACAATCTAACCTGTCCCCGTGGGTACCTGCTCGAACCCGTCCCGATTTGGACGGGGAAAACCCGTATTTATCAGGTTCGGGTTCGAGTTCGAGTTTTCCCCGATTGATAAAATCAGAGGCGGGGGCGGGGACGAGAATGTTACTCACTCAATAATTAATATTTTACATTATATTTTAACGATCAAATTGTTAAATTAATTTTTTTAATATATAAATCAAGTTTATAAATTTTTAAAAAATTTAAAAATTATATGATATTCTCTTATATAGATTCAAAATTAATGTATAAAATATTTCTATGATTATATCTTTCAATTTAAATTAATGAAATAATTTATTAAATAATTTCTTAAAATTTTAAATTTATATATTAAATTTTTTAATTTAATAATTGAATTGTTGATATTTAATATAAAATATAAATTATTAAATAAAATTTACTCATAAAATTAATGAATCCCTTTATTTATATATATATATATTATAGTGTCTTTTTCTTTTATATTAATAATGTTGAGTAAGAATATTTTTATAAAAAAAAATAAGCACCATTTTAATATATTATTGATCAATGGAAACATATCCCTATATTTGAGAACCCCGCCAACCCTCTTTTCACTTCCTTTCCTTTTTTCATTCCCTCACTCATTCGGTCACAAAACCAGAAACATGGACGCAGCTACACACCCACGCAAAAGAACGCTGGAACTCACCATTTCCTCGCTGGATGAGCTCCGCGAGGACTGGAAGCCCGCGCTGAAGAACCTGTACGTGGCGGTGCGGGCGGATTCCATCACCAGCTACGCCACGGGCACGGCGGAGGACTGCGGCGGCAACTCGTCCTGGAACGAGACGCTGGTGGTGGAGGTGCCGGCGCACGCGAGGTCCGTGACGCTGGAGGTGAAATGCAGGAACTCGCCGGGCGTGAAGGACGTCGGGGTGGCGAGGATTGCGGTGACGGACTTTCTGAGCGGCGCTGCGGCGGGTTCCGACGAGTGCGAGCGGTATCTGAGCTACGCGTTGAGGGACTGGGAAGGGAGGCGCAGTGGGGTGCTTAACTTCTCCGTTATATATATATATATTATTGCTTTAGGTATAAGATGATTTTAGAAAAGATTTTTTTTTGAATAATCAAGGTTAATATATTACTTCCTTAGACTATAACAACCTTATGTTTAAGCAATTATATATATCTTATTTTTTTTCATTAAACTCGGTATACATGTTACAAAGAATATTTTTAATTTAAACTCTATATGACAACTTGAGAATAAAAAAAAATATTTTTCACCATCAAATTAAGAAAAAAAAAATGATAAATCATACCCATAAAAAAGTTCCGTATACAAGAATTGTTTAAAATTTTTTCGTGAGAGTAAAAATGTAGTAAGTTATTTAAATGTGATATAATGATATAACATTCAATAATGTAATAAGATATATAGTTAAATAACTTGTATAGTAGATACTTTTAAATTACATGCACTAACATCAAGATGTGATACATTCTCTTAAATCCAACATATTCTTAGTGTTAAAACAAATTTTGATATGAAGATTTTATAAAATTATTAAAATTAATAGAAAAAATAAAACTTTATAAAAAATTGCTTTTTTTTAATTGATGTTTAAACTTTATTTATCAAAAAACACACCTTAATTATCATTAAATAAAATCAACTTAATTTTGAAGAGATCACGGAACAAGATCGAATTGCTCTCTATTATCGCCCAATGCTAATTGTGTCTCGCCTGTTTTTATTTTTTTAAAATTGTTCATATTTATTTATAAAAAAAAATAGGAGCGAGGGCGGGGAAACCCGAACCCCGTCGGGGGCGGGGATAGAGACCTAGATTTTACCCCCAGCAGGTATCGGGGACGGGGGCGAGGCAGTTTAAATTTGCGGGAGCGGGGGCGGGAAACGTAAAACCTGCCCCGCCCCGCCTCGTTGCCATGCCTATAACAAATAAGTATTGAAATTAAATTTGAACTCATTGGTAATTCTCCAACTCCATCCTAATTATGACAAGAAAAACTTGTTTTGAACGATATTGAGTTGAACTTTAAGTGAAGGCTAGGTTGGGAGAACTCATCATATCTCTTACATAGGGATGAGAAATAAACTCGTATCCACGAGTAATATTCGAATTTGTTCCGACTTTAAAGAAAAATACTTGATTTGACTGGATACAGATACGAGTACGGGCAAAACTCGATATATTAAATTGAGTACGGATACGGGTATGAGTATATACTTACTCGTCTCGTACCCATTCCCATCTCCGATTTAACACCTATCTCTAATTTAATTCTGTTAAAAAAATTAATATTTAATTATGTGTGATTGTTTATTATGATACGAAACATTTGTAATCATTTAATTATTAAGAAGTCTTTTTGATTAAAATATGAGATAGACAAACAATTTAATTATAATTATAATATAATAGAAAAATAAACTAAAAATATTGTTTATTTTTTTGACAAAAAAAATAATTAATTTTTTACAAATACAGATACGAATATACTTATTGATATTTGACAGGGATAGGAATGGAACAAAAATTATATACTCGACGAGTACAAAGGTGAGGATGGAAATAAGTTTGAGCTGCGGGACGAAAACGGATATCATGAAAGCCGTACTCGATCTGCTCCGACACCATCCCTACTCTTATCATGGGAAAACCTTTTTTAATCGTAGGATAAGTTTAATTGGAAATCAAAGCGTGAGTTTTTTTTCCCCTTAATTTCTTCATTCCTTTCTTGTTTCGCCCCTTCCCTGTCACAACTACCCTTTCCTCTTTCTCTTTCTTGGCAAACTCCAACTTCGGGAAATAAAGATTTTTTTTTTTAAAGATAAGTAAAAATTATAAAAATAGATACAATGAGACTTGAACTTAGATCTTCAAATTTTTAATTACCAAAATTTCTCTCCACTTAATCATTAGGCTAATCCTAGTGATTATAAATAAAGATGTTATGTTCCTTCTCCGAGCATTTTTTTTTTTTTTTTTTTTTATCGAAAATATTAGGAAACTACATTGGATTTAGTTGTTTGCAACAATAGTATTATGTGCAGATCAATATTCTGTTTTAGATTACTTCCTTTTTCGATAATAAAACAAGAACAAACTCCCCTCCAAAGAAAAATAAATATTTTTGTAATATAGATCACGTGTATCAGCAAAACTCATATTCAAACACCAGTTGGTTTATGTGCATGATAGTAAATAATAATTTATAAAAATGTATAAAAGATGATAGAATATTTTTGTGCACACATTTTTTAAAACTATTTTACTCTTTTAATAATTACTTCTAAACTACTTTTTCTTACTAACTATTCTTTAATTTAATTTTTATTCTTGTTTCTTTTTATTCCAATTAACCATCCATTTTATTATTATTTTTATACATAGTAGACGTATGCAATGAGTCTGTATTCGCCAGTGATAATAATAATAATAATCAATCACGTTTATTTTCACAAACTAGAAATAGTTCAACGATTACGGAACGCAAATAACAATTCTCTATATAGGAAGTATTGTATGGTCAAGTCAATAGTATTTAAAATGAAAACAGCCACATTTTATTTTGAATTTATAAGCACTACTTCCATGATATGATCACAAAAGGGTGAAGATCAGATATACAACCTTTCAAATTGCAATGACTAAGGGAGGGAATCGGTTTCAATTGCCGTCCATAATATCCAAATCCAAAAGGAAATATATCAACACATCATTGTAATATAAGTACACTCACAGACAGTGTTCATAGTTAAATTTCTTTTACAATTTTTCTTCACACAGTTCTTGGTTGTGATTTTCTTATTACATTTCCATCCTTCCTTGATTATGATTATGATTAATAAAGACGGCAATTGATTCCAGTGACGCAATTTGAAAAAAACAAGACATAACATGAGCCATTGTAATTAACAAACATCCGATTGTTGTGTATATTTCTTAATTCTTATTTTGAACAAAGAAAGAAGGCCAAAGTTGGAGCTCTCCTTATTTATAAGAAAGGTTCCTCATTGTTGCTAATAGATGCAACTTTAAGTCTGAAGACAGCTATCAGTTATCACCTTCCTAGTTGTTGTATAATGGGGGAAGAAGCAAAAAGGTTCATTTTTTGCTTAACTAAAGTCTTTGTTTCTTTTTTCTTGATAATTGATAAAAAAAAATTCTTAGTTACATTTTTGCTTCTTGTCTTTTACAATTTTGCCAATTTTGCCACCCTATTAGTCAATAATTTAACATCATTAGTAGACTGCTAACATGCACTGATAACTTGATGCATGTGACATGTCATCATTCATATGTCATATTATCAATTCATGTTAGCAGTCAATATGTTTTATCAACGAATAATATACATATCAGTTGTTAACGTACCATATTATTAATTAATTAATGGGATGATAAAATGTGTTGATTTAAAATATGAGTGACAAAATTCATGAAAGCGCGCGTGAAATACCAGTAGTAAAAAGTGCTGAATTTTTAATAACTGAAGTCTTTGTTTGTAATAACTGAATAGACTTTCTAACCACATAGTTGATCACTTTCTGAACCATCTTTCAGGTATGCTGTTGTGACAGGAGCAAATAAAGGGATTGGTTTTGGGATGTGTGAGAAGTTGGCTTCAAGTGGGATTGTGGTGGTGCTAACAGCTAGAGATGAGAAAAGGGGTTTGAAAGCTGTTGAGAAACTGAAAGAATTTGGTCTCTCAGACTTCATAGTTTTTCATCAGCTTGATGTGAATGACCCTGCTAGTGTTGCTACCTTAGCTGATTTCATCAAAACCCAATTTGGGAAACTTGATATCTTGGTATGAATCATAATTTCTTATTATTCTTTGGAAACTAAATTTCATTCCTTATTAGTTATCAGTATATATATATATAACTATTTACATCGTCGCCTAACAATACTGAGTTATACACCTGAAGAGTTGTCAAAGTTTATTAAATGATATAATAGCATGTACTTTATATATAGTGGTAATGTATCAAAATTAAACTCTTTCTTTGGACCTTGCCAGAGTTTAAACATAAAAATATTCGCAATGATTATTGATTACTTGGCTGTATAAGCTTGTGTATAGTTAATATGTTATTCAGTAGGGCATATTCCTATGTTCTAGTAGCCATATTGCATTCCGGCATAGTACAAATTAATAGAAGATAATCAGTGAAGAAAAGAGGTCTTGACTGTCCTAGGATCTGATAAATGAAAATATACAGAATAACTATAAAGAATATATTAATGTATGTTGCAGTGTAGGGTTGAGTGGATGAGACTCTTTTTTTAAGCATTTGGTTCTGAGTTCAATCTCAAAATTCACATGCATGGAAAACTTTCATTCTTTGTATTGGTGCAGGTGAATAATGCAGCTGTTACTGGCGGCAAATTATTAGATGGTGATGCTTTACTTAGAAAGGTTGGTTTGCTTCCTTTACAATTCAAAAAATTTATATATATATATATATATATATAGAGAGAGAGAACAATTT